CTGCCCGGTGACTTACAGGAAAGACCGCATCACGAACACACACTCGTGACGTAACCCTCACACACATCAGTAGGTGTGGTCGTGCTGTGAGACCTAAACGACACAGTCGCGCCTCCTCACAATTCCGTGAATTCAGCGGTGCACCACGGGCTGTCTTTTCCTGTTTAGTCGAGTCACTGCCAAAACATGTTTCCCTAAAATCTTGTTTGCAAAATGTTAATTCTGTTGCAATTACTGAAGAACAAAATGAATCTCACGAGCAAGCAAGGACTGTACATGGTGCCCCAAGAACCAGACTGCCCTCGGGCTGAGCAGCAGCAGAGAAACACAGTGCACACGAAGGCACCGTGTGCAAAGGAAAAAAAGAGTGTTTGGTGAGTAAGATGGGCAGGCTGAAATGTAACAGATCTGTGGCCCTTAATCAAACCAAACCAGCAATCAGAATATCTGGTCCACATACTTGTCCAGGAGACCTTTTAACATCACGCACGTGGGTCCTCTCAGCAACACGGCCTTTTCAAATATCCGATCACAACCACCAAATGCTGCCCTGGTTCTGCCCACTGGGCTCCGGCCCCCCACCCTCGAGAGGAATTTCCTTCATCCGCTCACGACCTGTGCCCCTTTCCCGCAGCGCTTGGCTCTGAGCACCGCACTCACCCCAGCCTGGTCTCTGGCAGCCGCCATCCTGTCAGGACAAAGGCCCCGCCCACGCCAGCTGCCCCCCTTCCAATAACGGTAAGCCACTTGTCGGTTGTGAGACTATTTCTTTCCCCCACGAGGTTATACACTTTGCAAAAACAGGCACCATATTTTATTTGCTCGTTGCTGTATTTCCGGGGACAAGCACAGAGCTGGTTGGAGGAGGCATTCAACCGAGAGAATGGATACATGGATGAAGGAGTTTGTACGTGCACTACTTTCGGTACCAAGAGTTACAAAGAGGCGCAAGTCATCCAGTGAGGGCAGCACTATGCACTGCACAGCCACTGCACACGCTAAGCATCACGTGCTGATGACGAGAAAAGGGAAAACGTAAGCTTATCCTCTATGAGCTGACGGCAGCCCAGGGTTCTCAGCAGGCACACAGGGCGACTGTATTAGACGTCACGGATTCTTGTAAGGCAGATGAAAGGAAACTGTGACATCTACGTTGGGTGATCTGGGATGCTTTCCTGGGCGAAATGACAGAGGGCTTTTGAGTCTAAACAAAGTCTCCATTGGACAAGAGCAAACAGAGGACCGTTCTGGGGATGGGCCAACGGCACCGAGGGTCATTCTGGGACAGGCAGATTGAAGACGCACTTAGGAGGAACTGCGACTCTGGGAGAGAATTACTGGTGAGGAGGAGGGGATGCAGCCTGCAAGAGTGAGTTTGGGCCGGTTTCTACATGGCTCTGAACACCAGCTGAAGACTGTGGGCAGCCCCTCGAAGCAGAGGGAGGGTCCGTGAAGATTTGTGATCTGGGGAGGAACACGACGGGATGAGTGTGTAAGACGAGGGCAGAACTGGGCTGGACAAACTGTCTGACACGCCACGTCGGGCTTCACTTCTTAGTTGTAAAAAAATGGGAGGAAAACTAGACGGTAAGACATCAGGAAGTTCCTTATCGTCACTTCCAAAACCACTCTGGAATTCACTGTTTCCGGGCGTGGTCTGGGTTCCTGCCCCAGGCGGTCCTGGCACGTCGGTCCGCTTGGTTCGCCAGCCTGGTCGGCAATCGCCGCGTCCTTGCCGGCCCCTGGGCCGGGCAGCTCTTCTGCCGGAGGCTCCCGCAGGAACCTACCCTAAGCCTCTCCCGTGGGTGCTGACACCGAAGTCCCGAGCTCTCTGCAGTGCATCATGGCGTGGAGATTACCTCGGGGTGCTGCGAGTGAAATGAAGAGTAAAGTGGGTCCTCAGCAGTCTTTGCCAAGAACCCCAAAATCTCAAGTCTGTGGGTGCTATCCTTCCCCACCTGGACAAAAGCAGCCCCCTACACAAGTAAGTTTTATCCCAGCAGTGGCTGACACAGGCACGGGGCCCGAACCCAGCCCTACCCGGGGCATCTCGGCTTGCAGCGGGCAGGCGTGGAAGGCCTTTCCCCGTCCCGGCTTTGCGACGCCAGACTCCGCTACAAAACCTCCTCTCAGAAAAGGCACCAAACTGGATTTACCTCCCTCACAAAGACCACCTGAGTAGCTCACAAGTGGTTCCTGAAACCAGCCATGCGCACTTTTTAAAAATCGTCAGTATTTCCAAACTCTTCTCAAATGTGTGGCGATCCGTACAGGTTGCTGAGTTCGGTATTACTGCTCACGTCACGCTGTCGCCTGATTCTCAGTCCTCTGTGGTGGCCTTGATCAGCGAGGCCCTCGAGTTTATCTCCGGTTGAGGGCCTCTGAATGTAGCAAAATGATGAAATGACTCATTAACCATAATGAAAGACTTCAGAGGGATTCGAGTCAAACTGCAGGTTTCGGAAGAGCATTAACTAGACAGTCCACTCCTTGTGTCTCAGCTTCGGGAAGAACAGCCCTAGTGGAGAATTTCGCTGAAGACGCCTGAGGGGCACGTCAGTCGCCTCTAAAAGTCGCCTGTGGTCTGCACGTTCACAGCTTACACCGCGTTTCAGGCGACACCCATTTATTATGGAGCAAGATACAGGTTAGGCTGTCCGTTTCCACTGCCCACTCCTGGAACTGCAGAAGAAAAACGAAGTGGATTCCTTTGGTTAGGGCGGGAGCCTGACCGACCCCGGAGAAACCTGGTTCACGGCACGGGATTTCAGCTTTACCTACATGGGCTCCAGTGTGAAACAAAGTTGAAATACATCACATGACTGGGTTGTTGTTTGTTTGTTTGTTTGTTTGTAGTGGAGAAATGGAATGGCTTTACAGCAGGGCACCCCAGGAAAGCCGGAAGCTATCACTTAAAACCCAAATCATCACTTCCGTCCAAAAGAGAAGCACAGGTAGATATACTTTGCCTCCCTGTACAACCAAAAGAAGGACAACAACAAATTTAAAAACAAACAAACCAAAAAAAATAGCCAGAAGTGCCAGAAAATCAAACTGTGTGGAAATCTGACGACCAGGGGGTTAAAAAAGAAACATTCACCCAGACTGGTAGGAGGGGCAGAGACGGGCAGCCAGGGCAGACAGGACTTGCAGCAAGGCAGCAGCTGGAAGACCCGGGTGGGCGAGGCAGTGGCTGGTGGCCCACATAGTCCCACATTCACATGAGGATAAACCGGGAGGAACAACTGGGGAGCGAGACAGACCGCACAACCCAGGGTTCCAGTGCAGTAAAATAAAGCCTCAAAACCTCTGGCTGTAAAATTCTGTGGGGGTTGTGGCAGCGGGAGAAACTCCCAGCCTCCCAGGAGAGTTCTCTGGAGAGACCCACAGGGTCCTAGAGAGTACACAAACCCACCCACCTGGGAATCAGCACCAGAAGGGCCCAATTTGATTGTGGGGAGCGGGGGAAGTGACTGAAAGCCGGCCAAGAGCTGAGCAAGGGGCATTGTTCCCTCTCTGACCCCTCCCCCACAGACAGCACCACAATGAAGTGATATGGGTGGCCCCGTCCTGGCAAATACCTAAGGCTCTGCCCCCTACTACATAACAGCTGCACAGAGATACAGAAATATGGCCCAAACGAAAGGACAGCTCAAAAGTCCAAAAACACAACTGAGCAATGAAGAGACAGCCAACCTATCAGATGCAGAGTTCAAAACACCGGTAATCAGGATGCTCATGGAAATGCTTGAGTGTGCTCGCAAAATAGAGGAAGAGGAAGAGGCTATGCAAAGTGAAATAAAGCAAAATACCCAAGGAATCAACAGTGACGGGAAGGAAACTGGGACTCAAATCAGGGATTGGGAACAGAAGGAAGAAATAAACATTCAACTGGAACGGAATGAAGAAACAAGAATTCCAAAAAATGAGGAGAGGCTTAGGAACCCCTGGGACAACTTTAAACATTCCAACATCTAAATCATAGGGGTGCCAGAAGGAGGAGAGCAAGAAATGAAAACCTATTTGAAAACATAATGAAGGAGAACTTCCCCAATCTAGCACAAGAAATAGACTTCCAGCAAGTCCAGGAAGCTCAGAGAGTCCCAAAGAAGTTGGACCCAAGGAAGCACACACCAAGGTACATCATAATTACATTACTCAAAATTAAAGATAAAGGATATCTTTAAAACAGCAAGAGAAAAGGAGACAGTTACTACAAAGGAGTTCCCATAAGGCTATCATCTGATTCCTCAAAAGAAACCTTGTGGAGAAGAGGGGGCTGGAAAGAAACATTCAAAGTCATGAAAGGCAAGGACCCACATCCAAGATTACTCTATCCAACAAAACCATCATTTAGAATGGGAAGGCAGACAAAATGCTTCCCAGATAAGATCAAGTTAAAAGGGTTCATCATCACCAATCCTTATTATATGAAATGTTAAAGGGGCTTATCTAAGAAAAAGATCGAAGACATAAATAGCAAAATGACAACAAACTCACAACCATCAACAACTCAACCTAAAATAAATAAATAAATAAATAAACTAAGCAAACAACTAGAACAGGAACAGAGCCACAGAAATGGAGATCACATAGAGGGTTAGCAGGGAGGTGGAGGAGGGAGAATGAGGGAAAAGGTACAGGGAATAAGCAGCATAAATGGTAGGTACAAAATAGATGGGGGAGGTTAAGAATAGTATGGGAAATGGAGAAGCCAGAAAACTTCCATGTACGACCCATGGACATGAACTAAGGGGTGTGGGGAGGGGATAATGCTGGTGGGAGGGTGGGTGCAGAGCAGAGAAGAATAAAAGGGAGAAAAAAATGAGACAACTGTAATAGCATAGTCAATAAAAGATACTTTTAAAAAACAATCACCAAGGGCTTACAACTGGGGAGTTTTAGAGGAAAAAAAAAAAACATGAGTAAGGGCTTCAGGGTTGTGAGCTGTGCTGACAGCTCAATTCCCGTGCGAGTGTTAGCGATTTTATGTCGTTCACTTAGTTCTTGGTGGTACCCTGTCCCAGCTCTCTGTAGCCCCCCGCGGTGGTCTTTTCTGCTTGCGGATTTTTGCAGGTCATCCTGATGCTTTTACAGGACCCTCCTTCGCCATCTGCCCTTTCCTCTGGCACTGCCCCCTGCTCCTCTTTTGCAGCCTGACGTTTCTCCAGTTTAGCGATCAGCTCTTTCGCTGGGTTGAAGATGCCGCTGGTCAGCTGGTCGCAGACGCAGCAGCGCGGGGAGGTGTGAGAATGCCCCAGCGCACAGCTCTCGCAGAAGTAATGCCTGCATTTGGTGACAACGGGGTTTCGGAAGGCCTGGCGACAGATGAAACAGCTGAACGGTAGTTGCTGACCGCCGCTCCCCACTTCGTAGTTTTCGTCCTCCGAGACACCATAGCGACCCTCCTCGAGCTCGCGTTCCATCTGCCAGCCGTGCTTGTAGTCCGACCGGTCGTGGAGGAACTTGCAGCTGTCTCCGAAGCCGCAAAAGCCCGTCTCCTTGTAGTCCTTGCAGACTTCGGGCTGGTAATCCCAGCGCACCGTGGCTCGTAGGTGCTCGGGGGCGCGGATGGGGCCCTTCCGCAGGGAGCCGGACGCAGCCCTGGGCTTCACGTACCGCCAGTAGTGGTTGACCCCGCGGTAGATGGTGTCGTCCGCCTCGCCCCTCGGCTCCTCCTGGCCCTGCCGGCTGCGCTCGAAGACGGCCCGTGCGCCACGCCCCCTCTCGGGGTCCAGCTCGCAGCCGGCAGTCGCCCCCATATCCTCGGGCCCCGCGGGTTTCGCCGAGCGGGTGGACTTGTAGACCACGCGGGGAGCCTCCTCCGCGTCCTCGCTCCTCCTCGCGTCGCAGTCCGCCACGTCCCGGGGCCCGGCACCGCGGGTCCTCTGGATGAACGGACCGGGGGCCGCCCCCCGCCTCTCGGCGCGGCGAACCGCGGAGCCGCCTTCGTCGCCGCTGCCACCGTCCCCGGGCTCCGGGTCGCCGGCAGGGCGCCTGCGGAGGCCCGCAGCCCCTTTGCGCCTGGGCCTTTTGAACAGGAAGGGACACGCCTGGCCCGCTGCCTGGCCCGCGGCGAGCCGCTCCGCCATCGTCCGGCCACGGCGCCAACGCCCGGCGGAGGCCGCGGGGCCCACGGGATTGCGTCACCCAGTCTGCGTCGCAGGGGGCCTGTGTCACGTGCTCGGGGCTGTGCGGGGCTGTGGGACCCGCAGTTCGCAGGGGACGGCGGGGTGGAGGTGGGGGTGGGGGTGCTCAATGGAGAACCTGGAGGAAGACGGCAAGGGGAAAGAGGGCTGCTGGGGCATTCTCAAATGAATTGTCATAAGATCATTAGATGCTTTTGTTACACAAACATGTTCCTGTGGGAGCTGGCCCTCTGTTTGCTTCTTGCTTTCACGGACTATCAGTTACTTAATGGAAATTGTCTAAAGGTGCCCTGGCTAGTGTAGCTCAATGGATTGAGCACCGGCCTGCGAACCCAACCGTCGCTAGTTTGATTCCCGTTTGGGGCACAAGCCTGGGTTACGGGCCAGGTCCCCAGTAGGGGGCGCTCCACAGGCAACTACACACTGATGTTTCTCTCTTGTTTCTTTCCCCCCTCTCTAAAAGTAAAATCTTTTAAAAAGAAAGATAACTTACAAACCACCCTTGCACGCGCACCGGGAAAGCATCAAGACCTACATTTCCCAACCAGGTAGTGAAATGATTGATCGTAAACCAACAATTCAGAAACACCTTTTCTGTCATACAGATATGAACTTGACCTTATGTTAAGTAACTGTTTGAACGGATTCAATGTTTAAAAAGACCAAAGACAGTGTGTGTTTAGTGTTAACAGAGGTTTCAGGAGCGATGATGGCAAAGACCAAAGGATGAACACACAATCAAAACATAAGGAACTGTCCTGAAACGTTTCACACATGTAAAGTGCCTGGTCTTCCGTTTCCTGCAATGACCCCAGTGAGGGACTGCTACAGGGAAGGGCTCAGGGGCACACACGGCAGGGAAGCCACCGCAGAGGTGCCCACAGGAACAGAAGAAAGTAGGTGTCTGGGTGCCCGGAAGGCCAGGCTGACTGTGAGGAGCAGCGAACCAGGGCTCCCGTGGCTTGGAGACCGCCAGGAAAGGCAGCCTGTTGTCACCGGTGGAAGGAGGAGGGACCGCATGTGCAGTTCTCCATGTAAACTAGGTCTTAAGAGGTGAGTGGGGCTTCAGCACCCAGAGAGGCAGTCCCAGTCGAGGACGGCATGGCCACAGGCCAGAAGCGTGAGCAGGACGCACAGCTCCAAGGCAGCTGTTAATCTGGGAGACGCTGGAATGGAAGTGGGGGGAGGGGAGGCACGACAGCACCTGCCCCGAAAACAGCAAATAAGGGTCAGGTAGCAAAGAGCTCGGATGCAGTGCTAAGGGGGTCAGGACATTTCTCTGCAGAAAAAGGGGGACAGGGAAGGTTTGAACAAGCAAGTACTTTGCAGACGTAAACGTGATGCTCTGCGTGCCCATGGGAAGGACGAGGGAAGGGTCTCCAGGAGACGAGAGCACTGGCTGTCCCAGAAAGCAGGCGGGCCTCCGCCCGGAAAGCAACGGTGGAGCCAGGAAGGAGAGTGGGTGGGTGACGTCCAGCAGTCAGTCAACATTTGGTTACTACTGACATCATCTGGGGGCAAAGGTGAGCCTAATCTGGCTGAGAGCAGTGGGGAGACAGGGACAGTTCGAGAAGACAGAGAACACAAGAGAAAGTGCAGGTTTGGAAAACAAGTAATGGATGTGTTCTTTTTTTAAAAAAAGTGAGGCCTGATTTGAGTCTTAAAGTCTTACAGTTCACTAGTTAGAAAAGGAACACAGTCTAGCAGGAGAAGACATAGGCAAAGCCACAGAGGCGAGAGAAGAGACAGCCTACAGGCGTGAAATAGGGCCATGGCAGCAGGGACAGTGACAACAGGGGAAGTATTAGGAGGGAAAAGCAGTGACATCTGATGATGTCGGGATGAGGGAGACAGGGGTCCAAGAAAGTATCCAGGTCTCCAAGCTTAAGTGGCCCCTAGAACTTTGTCCCCACGTGACGTGGAGAATAGCTGTGGAGGAGGAGACAAATCAGAGGGACATGCCTGATGCCACTGGGGCCAGGCTGGGCTGACGGTGTCTGGGGGACAGCAGGGCAGAGCGGAGCCCGGGGACACGGAGGGCCGGCGTCTCAGTGAAGACATCAGCGGGGTCAGGTGTAGGCGGCGAGGGCGGCGTCCCTTGGGGAGTGCTCAGGACAAAGGCACAAGGGCGTGTGTCTCTCTGCAGACCGAAGCCCCGGAGCCCGAGCGCCACCGGATCCGAAGGAGAGCAGCAATCCGGAAGCCGTGTCGTGAAGACGCAGCGACGACGTCACAGGACAGACAGAGCGAACAACTCGGACCACCGGAAAGGTCCTGCATTGGGAGGCCAGTTACGATCCCACTTTGAGCGAGAATTCGGCCTCGCTTGCATTCCTACCAATACACGGAAAGGCCTTTTAATAGTCACCAGCGCGTGCACAGCGCTGCGTCCCGCTCTCCGAGCCCGTGTTTCGGGTTAACCGATGCGCCCCTCCAGCAGGGTGCGGCACTGTGGCGGGCACCGTGGCGGACACCGTGGCGGACACCGCTGGCCACAGAGCAGACTGGAACAGGACCACCGGTGCGCTCCCTGAAGGCGAGAGGGCCCTTCATCCTGGGAGCCTGTCAATACACGTTTAAGACTTCCGATGTTGCCCTGGCTGACGTAGCTCAGTGGATTGAGCTTGGGCGGCGAACCAAAGCATCGCAGGTTCAATTCCCAGTTAGGGTACATGCCTGGGTTGCAGGCCACGGCTCCCAGCAACCTCACATTGATGTTTCTCTCTCTCTCTGTCTTTCTCCCTCTCTTCCCTCTCTAAAAATAAATAAATAAAATCTTTTTAAAAATCTCTTGTCTGTTTAAAAAAAAAGACTTCGCGTGTCGTTTATTAACAAAAACCTTAGCGTTGGGGAACTGAAAACATCAGTGTAACAGAACAGTGAAATAGCGTCAGGCTAAGTTCCCCGAGATTCTCCAGGGAAATGATGGGTCCCTCCGCCTGAGCAGCCCACAGAGCTCTCCTGTAGTGACGTCCGTAATTGTAGCAAGTGAAGGAGAGCACCTGAAGGGGGCGCTCTGGACCAGCGGACACCACCCTTAACAGCGGGGTGGCCCCAGAAACGAGACAACTCAATCCGCTCAGACAGGTCCTGGCGGCCAGGAGCACTCCCTCCTGCCGCTCTGTGAAATCGCGAACGCCCACAACGTTTTGGTCTTCGGTTATCAAATGAAACCATTTATGTAACCAAGGTCAAATAACCTCCAGGCTTGCTGACCACCCTTCCTGACAGAAATGCCCCAGGGTGCACCAGAAACAGCGACCCAGGCTGGAGAGGGGCGGGGAAGGGAGGCAGACCCGCAATCACAGGAGAGAGTGGCTCATTCAGGGCCTCCCTCCACCGCTCCCCCCGCCCCGCTGCCCCCCACCCCCGCCCCCCACCCGCCAGGCAAGCCCCCTGGGGAGGCTGTGTCCTTCTTTCATTTCTTGTGTCGGATTTCGGGCTGACACGTGGTAATTGATTCCGCTGCTGGTTAGACGGGTGTTAAGTGGGTGGGATGGGGTTTCAGCGAGAACAAATAGCACTTCACGGGTCTGACCTTCCCGCTCCGGAGCTTTTGTTGTGGTCGCCCCGGGACGCACAGATCAAAAACCACGCGAGCCCGCTGCGTCTCCGTCTGCAGCCCCCCCGACTCACCTTCACAGGCGCCCAGCGCGCCGGTGACAGGGCGGCTCAGTGTCACTTCTGGCGTGACGACAGCTCGGCAGCAGGTGGGGTCCCAGACTCACACCTGAGGTCTGGTGTCTGAGCGGCAGAGGTGGCTGAGCACGGCCTGAGCCTCCGGGGAGAGCACACCTCCGCAGACGGCGAAAATAACCCTCCTCCCGATGGCACGTCTGGTCCCAGTGCCGCCTCCGGTCGGGGGCTCGGTTTCGGCACTTCGCTCCACCCGCCAAAAGAAGACATCGGCACCAAACCTGGTGCCGTGCGAGGTTCAGTGTGGCCCGGTAAAATGAATACTTTTGGGTTTTCGTCCTGCATTGTCCATGCATTTGTCAGCTCCCACTGTGGGACCGAAAGGTGCCCTTCCCCGGGGCAGGGAGGACCCTCTGTCCTCTGAGGGTGCTGCCCGTGGCTGGAGGGAGTCTCCAGCACAATATTCTTTCCCGCAACTTACCAATCAGCAGCTGATTGACAGGCCAAGAACACGGAACAGCCTGCCCCGCCTGCCCCAACTCAGCACGACCCCGAAGGCCACGCCGACTCCCATGAGAGGACAGCAGACACCCAGCTTCTCCCCGGCCCACTCCCAGCCCTTCCCGCCTGGTGCCCAGGAGCACCCAGCAAACATTCGATGCTCTCGCATCCCCCTCAGGGTCTCCCCCAGGAGCCCACCCTGACGCCAGCCATGATTCGAGGAAGTGGAGGCTCCTCGATGGGATTTGGGGGGGCTGGATGGCGCCCCACCCACCAGCAATGAAGACCCCATCCCATGGACCCTAGCTCAAGGTAGCAGAGAAACGGCTAAAACCTCCAGCAAAGTGAACTGAGACGGTACATCTGGCAGGAAATGCACCACCAGAGCTAAGACTCAGCCGTTTGAGAAATAGGTACGGGAAAGAGTCATTACAAGGTGAGGTTGGACGGCTGTTGCCGAGGGCACCTGACGTTTGGGAGAGTGACGTGGAGCCTGAGGACACTAGCCGTCCATTAAATCCCAGGTGCGAGGGCCAGAGACCCCGTTGCCGGCACGGGGAAGGACTGTGCTGCATGCATCCAAATCACAGAGAAGGCTGAGGACTGGGCCCAGGACTCGCCATAAAGACCACGGAGCGCCCCAGTCCTCAGCCCCACCCAACCAGGCAGCCCTGCTACAGCAAAGCTCAGAGCTCCCGTGGGGAAAGAATAACAACCTGATTTACAGGGTGGGGGCTCCCCCATGGGAAACCCCTAGGACCCCCTGAACTCTTGGAGCCCCCTGTGGTGGGCTGCAGAGGCCCCCG